GCCCATCACGGCCGAGGACTACTGCAACAAGTGGTTCATGATCCCGATCAATCTCAATCTGGACCCTGTCACAGACAACGCAAAAGCGCAAGGCAATCTCACAGTCGATTATTAGTTCACGGCAGTGGCGGACAGTCGTTTGTGCTCTCCTCCGACGTCTCCACGTCAATCAAAGTGAACCTTCTGTGCCTCGATCAGTATACGTACACGATGTCGAAAGAGTAAGGCATCAGCTGAAGTGTCGTCTGAGATATACAGTAATTACATATGATAGCATAATTACATTTGAAGTGTGAAGTTTTTATCGTTAGCAACATGGAAGGTAGTGATCTGAAAATGAGCAACCACCGTTATCGCGGGGGTGACCTCGAGACGACAAACCGCCAATATGGCGGGTTTCTTCCCCTCCCACGAATGTTAGGCCTGGGGGCCGGTGTGTCGCCGTCGGAGTTGCAAAAAGCGATGAGCGACCCGATCAAGTCACAAATGCTCATGCAGCGTGGAGGCTTTCCTTGGGCGCTGGCGGGGTTGAGCCTGCTCCCCATGCTGATGGGAAAGGGGGCGGGAGACTGGATCGCCAACCAAATGAAGACGCCTCCGCCTGAATGGCAAACCACAATCATGATCCGCTGAGGATCGGCTTTTCCCCCAAGGCTGTTGGGAGCCGCCACTAGGATGGCCCCTTACGCGAAGAATTCCGCTATCCCCTTCGCCTCGGTGCGCTCACCTCGCTGGGGAACAACGTCGTTGACAGTATCTTCGGCGTTGGTATTCTTAACGGCGACATGTCTCATCCCTCCGACGACTACCGCGTGGAATATATGCCATCTCGCGATCAGACGATTGGCGGTGCTGCGAAAAGTTCGAGGGATGGATAGACTCGCACGACGACGGGAACAGTTCGAAGAACACGCGTAGCGCCAAGGTCGACAACAAGACAAAAGACGGGGGCGTTGAAGCGCGCAGCGCCTAGAAGAACGGCAAGGACACGACGGAAGACCACGGGGCGAGCAAAGAATAGCGGTTTGGATGAATTTAAGAGCATGCTCCTGGATGCTGCAAAGCGCACGGGAAATGGGAGCAGTGAATCGCGCAAAATCGAGGGCCATTTCTAGGTTGAAATCGTCAGCCACAAGTTTGGCACACAATATCCTTGCTTTGGCGCCCGCGACGGCTTCACGTTTCCATCACCCCATCAGCAACAGCATCTCCCAGGCCCTGCGGGCAGCGTCCTCGATCCAGACGAGCGCCCACATAGGCCAGTCGTTCAACATTCAGAGCGGTGCATATCTTTCCGAAATGGATTTTCGGCTGTTATTCCCCTCACCCAGATCAGTCGTCCCGACGCCATCAGTCGTCCCAATGGGATACTAGCACTGGTGGCGGTAATTACCCCGCTATCCCCGGGCTTGACTTTCACAAAAAAGAATGGTTTGACGAGCTTCTGCCTTCACTCAAAAAATGGGGCAGAATGTTTTGCTCTTGGGTCAGAGCAATATGGGCAAGAGCTTCTTCATGAAGCGGCTCCTTGCTCACGTTCGTCCGAAAAGGCTGTACATCATTTCGAACACCTCCGCAGATCAATATGTCCAACCAAATACGGTCTTGAAGCATTATTCCGTCATGCCTGAATCAATCTAGGATACGAGTATAGAACCGGAGTCCTACGTCATCATCGACGACATCCGCGTCATGAATCGCAAATGCGGAACGCAGAGGGAATGCTTCTATAAGTTCTTTACGATGTATAGCCATCATCTGAAATTGAACGTTTTCTTCCTCTCCCAGAGCTTCGACAACATAAAGGACATGAAGGTTAACACAAACTTACTCTATCTCTTCCGATTCACGGATAAGTCGAACGTGAAGCGGTTTCTTAATACGCTCCTCGGCGGCACGGGCAATAAACCAGCTGTCATCTTCAAACTGTACGAGAAACTCTTGACCCGCTGCGAGCAACCGATCCTCGCTATGGACTGCACCAATCAGCGATTTGCCTATTATTGCGACGAAAAATCTATTGCGGTGGACTTTCAGTGAAAGCTTTGCTTTCTCCGTCATTACCAGAAAAATCTGAACAAAATTAAAGAAAGAAGTTCAGGAGGGATATCACCAGATTTTTAAGCGTATGTTTGAAGAAAATGGAACATATTCGAGTCCGGATCATCGATGGTCTCCCATAGTGGCTTGAGCGGGTGGCGGATGGTTATCCGTCGGCCTCCCTCATCCCAAAGGCTCGGCGGCTGGCGGTCCTCCAGTTTATCGAGAGCCAACCTGAGCACATTATCAAACGCGCTTAGTGCTTTATGGAGGTCTTGGGTTATCTCCCCAAAGGGGCCCGAGCAAAGGGGGCTGGAGCACCAAATCGCCACCGAGACTTCATCTCCTTCCTGCGCAAAGCATTGCAGTATATACCAAGCTACCCCCATGCTTAGTTGAGCTTGCTGGAGCTAAAAAAGCACCCAAGCGTAAAAGAGCTCTATGACTTGTTCTAGGGTCACCCTTAGCTTCTCAATGGAGAGTCGGTCCTGAGTGCAGTCAAATCCAGGTTGCTGAAATATCCTGAAGATACAGATCAAGTTCGCGACAGCGTCGCTGATGTCCGTTTGAAAAACCAACTACCGGAGGTCACTACAACCTCGCCTTCTCTCCAGACTCGGAAAGAGAGGGAGTTCGTTCGCTTGCTGCTGCTCGTCTTTGGACGCTTTCTGGCGGGCCAGAAGATTCCCGAGGCCTTTCTTAAAAGCAACTATTCCCCTCCGCGTGCGCAGCTGCTACAATTGTTTACGGAAAACCCTCAAGGGTTTGAAGCAAATCTCAGGGAGCCCCAGGTGAATCAGGATATGCGTCTTGCCTTTGTGGCTGACAATAGCGTGCTTTTGAACATCGTAAACCAACAGTTTGTCCGCAGGTATCTTTTTGAGGTGGTCGCTAACACCGTAGTCGACTTCGGCCATCCCCAGTTTCGCCTGGCGAGGCAAAAGTTGCAGGAGATCAGACAGCATGCTCTTGCGTACCGGGGTCAGGGCAGAAGTTCGGTGATTTGGCGGCCTTGCTTGAGACCTACTCCAAAATACCCGAGAGCAAACTTATAAATTATGATCGTCATTTTATGCCTGGAGGCGTCAGAGGCAAGATGACTAAGATGGACATGGCGTTTTGGACGACCACTTGGGAGAAGACGGTGGCTGCTTCGGTGATCAGTGATCAGGAGGAGCATCTTGCTCGTTTGCAGGATGATATGGTGCAAAACAAAACAAAAATTGGGAATGAGGATATCGAGGGCACTCTCTCTTATACTGTCGCGCTGCTGAAGGTAAACAAGCTCGAACTCCATGGCGTTGGTGATCGTTTGGGTAGTTTACTGAAAATTGCTACAAGAACGCTGCCTGATCTCGTACGACAGGACATTGTGGTGGTGCGGTTTGGGGAGGTGCGAATCTGAAGAATGGCAAGGTACAGATTCAGAGTCTCTGGTTTGAGCGGGCTGAAAACCAGTGGTATCATGAGAGCAGCGGTAAACTGCGAGAGGCTTGGGGTTGGAACTTCCATCTCTTCTGGCGGGGTGATGGCACATCTCGTCTTGTTTTGATTCTTATTTTGCAATCTCATGATGTCTTGCTTCTTCGGAATTTGTTTTATATTATACAGTATGACCTTTTGTGAGCCCTCCGCGCCCCCTGTCGCAGAATTCACTGAGTTCGTCCAGAAAATTGATCTGCACTCTGATTCGGTTTGTTTTATGGAGTTTATTAGCAATGAACAATCTACACAATCTCTTCGACTATTACAAATTTGAGTCTATTTATATGTTTACATTTCGTGACTTACGTGCACTATTACAACATGAATTAATTAAGAGAGAAAATACTTAGGAAGTGTTAAGTATATACACCCTAATTTTTAATTATAATTTTGGCACACATAAAACTCTGCATGGGAACTTATAAAATCTGGCATGCAATAAAAAATATAAATGAAATATCCTAAATTATACAACACTCTCCTCCCCTTGACTCACTCAGGAGTCAAGCATCGCCCTAACCTTCCACCTGGCGTCCAAAGCCGCCTTTCTCTTAGTCTTCTCCTTACATCCGCTAACCATATCCTCCTTAACAACCCCTTCAACCTTACTCTCGTCTTTAACCTCAACTGGATATAAATGCTGAATCGCTCTATTCAACACCTGGCGACGACCGTTTGTCATCACGCAAACCTTTGCACCACGAACGACCTTATCCTTGCCACAAATCAATTCCTGAATCACACCTGTCTTCCACTCCCCCCTTTTCTTACCCTGCTCAAACACAATGACCACATCCCCTGGCTTAATTATCGCCGACTGTTTGTCTGCCATCCCAACCTTATGAAATTCCCGAAGATTCGTGAGATACTCCCGTTTCCACCTGCTCCAAAAATGCTCCAGTATGGCACTTAAATGTTTGAATCGTGTCCTAGTGTTTGTTCTAGTCGAATCTTGTCCTAAATCATTAATTTTTGAGTCCTTGCTATCGGGTAATGTCACGATGCGCCTACCATAGACTAAATGTGCAGGAGTAAGTACTTCACTATTCACTTCCTCGTACTCATACGTTAAGGGTCTAGAATTCAATTTAGCTTCAGCTTCAGCTAGAACAGTTGTCAGTTCGTCGAAAGTAAGTTTTGCATTGCCCAAAACTTTCCTTAAACAGACTTTCACTAGCCCTATCATCCTTTCGAAAAACCCTCCCCACCATGGGGCCTCTCTAGGTTAAATCGCCACTCAATGTTCTTAGCGCTAAGGCAATTATCTACTTCTTCGCATTGAAATAAGTCGCGCAACGTCTTTTTTGCGGCTTTAAATGTTTTGGCGTTGTCAGAAACAATAAGTTTCGGTGTTCCAAACCTTGCAAAAAATCTTCTTAAACAGCGCAGAAATGTCGCTGCACTCAAATCGTGCACTAACTCTAAGTGAACCGCGCGTGTCACACAGCAGGTGAACAGCGCAATGTACACCTTGCTCATACTTGCCTTTGTTTTACGTACAAAGGTCCTGCAAAATCTACGCCTGAATTTTCAAATGGTGCGGCTCTCCTAACCCTAAACTCTGGTAACGCTGCTTGCTTTATTTGTGTACACGGCTTACTGTTCCATCGTTTACAAGCTACACATCCACCGCTCACTCTCTTAACTTCCTGTCTGCCCTTGGGTACCCAATACTTCGACCTCAGTTGCGCCAACGTGCTCCGAACTCCCCCATGCATAACAGATTCATGACACTGCCTAATCACTAGCTCTGTGAAATACTGTCTCCTAGGCAAAACAATCGGCTCTCTAGCTTCTGCCTCCAAATCTGATTCACCCAATCTTCCCGTACAATGCAGTATCCCGTTCATTTCTATCAGTCCGTACTGTCTTTCTAACTGCTTAAACTCGGGTTGCTCTCGTAACTCTAGCTGGGCTGACTTTATCCACTCGCATTCTCCATCATTCATTTCGCTCGCTTTTATTGGTCCGGTAAAAATTTCTAATCCTAGTCTTTTTTGTTTCAAATTATAGACGAATCTCTTCACCCACGCAGTAACTCTTAACAGCCGTGTAAGTGTGCTGTATTTACTTATGCTAATGACATTGCCAATTCCAAACAATGACCTTGCACTTATGATTAGGTTAACAACAAATGACCTTTTCTCTTCAACCTTGCTGTCTACTGTGGGAACTATCTCCTTCACCATAGGATAATGCCTTGGACTACCCCGCAACCAAGACGGTCCTGACCACCAAACCTCCGCGTTCTTTAACTCAGTCATCAAGACCCCTCGCGACCCTAAATCTGCAGGGTTTTCCTTACCTGGACAATGACTCCACTCTGTTTTGAACTAAGCCTTAATATTTCGTCAACTCTATGCTGAACAAATTGCTTCCAATTGCCTGAGTTGACTATCCAATACAAAACAGTCATACTATCAGTCCAATACTTAACGCCCTCAAAATTATACTCTGACTCTAACGCTTTCCTGACTGCAGACATTAAATGAGCCAATATTCTAGCTGCCATTAATTCTAACCGCGGAATACTAAGTTCTTTCATCGGGGCTACTCTTGTTTTGCTGGCAATCAACTTAACACGAACATCGTTACCGTTCAAAACTACTAGATACACAACCGCACAATAAGCTCGCTTTGACGCATCCCCAAATCCATGCAAAAAATATCTCTGCTTTGATTCTGAGCCAGATGTGTCAGTCACGCCGCTCAAGTACCTGCCTATTGAAACACTCTTTACCTCCTTTAGATCTCTCAACCACTTCTCCCACTTCTCTTTCACACTTTTAGGCAATGTATCGTCCCAATCCACGCCACTGTAACAAATATCTTGAAAGAGAATTTTAGCTTTAACAATCGTAGGACTCAAGAGCCCTAATGGATCGAAGATACAAGCTAACAGACTCAACACATTTCTCTTCGTCGGTTCCGTGTTTTCCGCTTTCGCACTCAAATTTTCGAAATCGAATATTATTACGTCCCCGACGCTATCCCATTCCAACCCTAATACTTTACCAAATTGACCCTGTACTTGAGCAAGCGTGGTTTTCGCATACGTTTGCTCATCAACGCAACTACTTTCCACGTCACGCACATCTTCTTCAATTTGCGATCTTAACGCACTATCATTAGTCCGCCATTTGCGTAACTTAAATCCGCCTTCATTCATGCGTTCGTTGGCCTTACGATATAGCTGATACGCTCGCTCTGTACTAGATTCACCGCTGGCAAGATCGTCCACGTAAAAGCTTTTAGCAGTTTTTCTGAAAATTCCCTATCGCACTGTAAATATTTGCTAATATGATGCCTTAACGTCGAATTAAGCAAAATGGTGACGAATTCACCCCAAATACGACTCTACAAAACGGTAAACTACAAGATTCAAATTGTTGCGCAGTACATCATCTACCCACAAAAACCTTAGGCTATCTCGATCCCTTTCGTGCACTTCAATGTTTAGGAAGGCCTTCTCTATGTCCGCTATTAGCGCTATTCTTTGCTCACGGAACCTAAGCAGAATATCAAACAAAAGTGGATTAAGTGAAGGTCCGATATGCAAACAATCATTCAAAGAGACACTTGACTTGAGTACTTTAGCGCTTGCGTCATAAACCACTCTAACCTTTGTCGTCTTGGCATCCTTTCGCACGACAGCTTGATGAGGCATGTAATGTATTTTGGCATGAGAATTAATCACACTATCTTTTCCTACCCTCTCTATGATGCCTAACTCTTCTTGGGCCTTAATGATAGTGTCATATTCCTTCAGTAATTCTGGGTTCTTACCTAGTCGTCTGATTTGTCCCTTCATTCTCTTAAGACTTAAGTCATAGTTAGTAGGTAAAGGATCGTGACCCTCCCTCCAGGGCAACCCCACTGAATAACGCGTACCGTCAAAACTAAGATCGTTTATGACCGATTCATGCACATCACTTACTTTGTCCTTAATTCCTAGGCTTTCTAAATCCCAAAAGTTTTCTACGTTGATACAAGTTTTATTAGCGGAGCAAAAATTTACCTGAGCAGTGGCGGGTTGATTCTTATCCGTGCTTCCAACCGGCCCTGAAACTACCCATCCAAGCACCGTCTCGATAGCCACAGGCTCCCCCTGCTTCCCTCGCATAATACGACCTTTCTGCAACGACCACAAGTAATCCGCACCCACGAGTACGTTTACCTCCAATTCCTCATTTACCTTACAAACATCAGACAACCACAACCCCTTCAAATGTTCAAAGTTATTTCGAACCACCTCCAAATGTTGATTACTAATTACTGATATTTCTGGTACAACATATGCCTCGATAGATACGACTTCACCACCCGACAACGAACTCAAATCCAATCGCACAACCCTTCTCAACTCGTTCTCTAAAGCCCTTTTCCCAAACGTTCCTATTCTCAGATTTTCTTCACGAACGACTTTACATCCCAACGCTTTAGCCGTCCTTTCAGTAACAAATGATCTCTGACTCCCAGAATCCAACAAAACCCTTACTCGTCCCGACTTACTACCAACCAGTTTTGCTTGTGCAGTTTGCAAAGCAACATTGCATCCTGCTTTTTCACAACTATTCTTAGGACTTACAAATAGAGTATTACTACTATTGGTATCTACATTCCCAACCTCCCCTTGTCCAACAGTTCCCTGGGGCTTACTTTCCTTTCCCGAATCACACAGAGCCTTGTGGTGATTCTTCTTACATATACTACATTTAATATTGTTGTCACAGTCACGAGCCTTGTGGCCCTTTTCCAAACAAATATAACAACGACCGTATTTCTTAATAATATTCTTACGTTCCTCAATTGATTTGATCTTCTCACATTCTTCATGCCGATGACATCCCAGGCAGAATGCGCAACGAACCGGTCCCAATTTTGTCAGGAGGGCGCTTGCTGTTTTCGTATCGTTCCGCCTGGCTCCATTTGACGACTTCTCAGGATCACCATGCCGTTCTCGTTGCTCTCTCTGAACTCGATGCTCTTCTCGCAGCTCAACTTCGCACTTTAACGCTCTTAACATATCGTCCATATCCCACTGATGGAAGTTTTCGCCTCTCGTGATCAACAATCGAATCGATTCCGGTATCAAGTTCAAAACGTAAGGTACCACGATTGATGAATACGTAGCGCTGTCCACTCCCAATGCATCCAAAGCTCGATGATGTGCTTCGACACTATCACACAAGTGACGAAGAGACGTAATATCTCTCGGATCTTTCACTCTATCTAAGTTCAAAAGTTTTTGCATGTGCGCTCGTTGGACCGATTCTGGCTTCCCATAGCGTTCCTTCAACGCGTCTATTGCAGCGTTGTAGTTCGCCGAAGTCAAAGAATATCTCGCGATACATGACTTCGCTGGTTCGCCTAAGAGTCCCCGAAGATAATTGAATTTGTCAACGTCGGACAAACTTCCATTTCCGTGAATGGCGCTTTCGAAGGAATCCCAAAACTCCTGCCATTCGCAAACATTTCCATTGAACCGTTTAACGTGCAGCTTTGGTAATTTTGCGCAAACTGTTCTATTGGTCACCGACGCTCCTCCGTCAGACCTTAACGAACTGTTCATTCTATTTTCCGAAACGCAATTGTCGTCAATCTTTTGGCGAAGCTTCCTCGCCATCGACTTTGCTTCAGAACTTATTTTTCCAGCTTCCTCGACTTCGCTGACAATGTCAAGTTCTGACGCTTCTTCGTCCCCAGCAATCAAGTTAAGGATGTCTTCATCCAGGTTTTGGAACATAGCGACTGTCTCCAAGATTTTGTCGCGTTGCTCTTCCGCGTCATTCTTTCTTCGTTCATCGAATGCGTCGACTAAGCCTGCTGCCGACGCCACAACTTTCGTCAGGTAACCGCGATGAACTGCTCGTACTCTTTTCTTTCTTGCTAACTCCTCCATACTATCCGGCTCGAAGGACCACTTGTCGCAGAATTCACTTAGTTCGTCCAGAAAATTGATCTGCACTCTGATTCGGTTTGTTTTATGGAGTTTATTAGCAATGAACAATCTACACAATCTCTCCGACTATTACAAATTTGAGTCTATTTATATGTTTACATTTCGTGACTTACGTGCACTATTACAACATGAATTAATTAAGAGAGAAAATACTTAGGAAGTGTTAAGTATATACACCCTAATTTTTAATTATAATTTTGGCACACATAAAACTCTGCATGGGAACTTATAAAATCTGGCATGCAATAAAAAAAATATAAATGAAATATCCTAAATTATACAACACCCCCTTCTTCACCTCCGGTGTCGACGGTGCCTCTCTATCCTACGCTGCCTACTGCGAGCGATGCTGGAAATACGTATCGATTACAGAAGATTTCAGAGGTCGAAGCTCGCTTGCACACGGAAAAGGAAGCCCGCCAAACGCCCTACAAAATGTACAAACGAGCTGTGAACAGGTTAGACGGTGCGGGCAATGCCCTGTCTGCTATCACTGTGGGCAGCTCTGTTAGCTGCGTGGCTGTACTCAGTACCGTCGTCTTAACTCCTTTCGGAATCGCACTTGAAGGCCTAGCAGCTGTTTGTGGCACGGCCACTTTCGCTGGTCAGGTTGTTAGCCGCAGACTGGCCAAGAAAGCTGAAAAACACGATCGCATTCGGACGTCGCCGTGACCGTGCTCCGAACAATCTTGCTGATCACAAGCCGATTGCTTCGAGATAGCAATTGCAACAAAAGTGAGTACCAGCTCTTTTTGGGTGATGCAGAGCGCTCCGCTTCGTTGAAAGACGACAGTAGAAGCCAGACAAAGAGAGCTCTCCGCGAACAGACGCGAGAGCTAGAAGCACAGCTGGAAGCTGCACGTGCGGGCGGGCGTGAGGAGGGCATTCAGCTCGGGCGCATGGACGCTCTGAAAAAAATCCAGCGTCAAGTGGCGGATGGCGATTCACGCTAGACATAAACTTTGTGCGTCGTTGACAGTGTTGCATCATCTTGGTGTGATAGTTTTTATCACCCCACCCACGCCAGGGCTTCAGACCGAAGCTGTGATCATAATAAATCACTGCAGTGAACATCTCTTTTGTTTACGAGGGAAAACCAGTAGTTGAATAAAACGGTGTGTATGAAATAGCGTCAGTGGTATGGAGTGTTTGGCATGTCAAACTGGCGCTATGAGCATCATGAATCTAACCGGGCATTTCAATGGTCCGCGGCATAATCGTGCGTGGTTGGCTGGTAAAGCTATGAAATTCGTTTGCCACTTGTGTGACGACAGCTGCGGGGATGTGGAATGGCTATGTAAGCATGTCAAGTCGCCTGGGCACCGAGAAAAGCTAGTTGAGGAGCTGATGTGATGTAGGGGATGGCCTCACCGCTTCCTCCTGGCTGGTCCCGAGGAATTGCAACGGCAAGTTGTGCTTGCCAGGTAGCGAGTAGATGCCCACCTCTGCATGCTGGACTGGGTCCTCGAGGGGAACCCTCTCGACGAGTACTAACTAATTATCACATCTGAACTATTAGACCCCCGACGGCCGTCTGCGCGGGTGCGGGGGGTGCGTTAGCCATCTTTGGCTCATGCCGTTGTCCAGCGTTTGGCCTTCGCTGTTATGTGATTTTTGTGCCGACCTATGTGCTTATTATGTGCTTACTATGTATGTGAACCACATATGCGAACTAGGGCCGAGGCGCTTAGATTTGTGTATACTCTTTCTAAAACTGTGAAGTGCACCAGAACCGATGCGATTTTTTATCGTGACCCATGTATGCACTGAACCCTCTATACATCTATGCGTCTTTTTGTCGGGACCCATGTATACTTCGTACTGTGTAAACGAACTAGGGCTGGGGCGCTTAATTTTGCGTATACTAGGTCTCAAGGTGTAAGGTGCGCCAGAACCGGTAGTCTCTATACTACTGAATCCCTTTTAATGACAGACAAACGTACGAACAACTAAAACTAGACCAATCACCATCATTAGTAAGCAAACTTATCAGCAAGATCTTCCCTATGAGAAAATCTAACATTAGTCTCAAGAAAAGCTACAGTCCACTGAAACTTTCATTAAAAACTAAGCACTATACAAATACCGGACAACCATACAGTAGTGTCTTTTGATGTGAAATCATTGTTCACCAGTATTCCACTTAATCTGGCACTTACTTTTAAAAAACCCTCATTACAGACACCACGGACGTACTGCCATTACCGACAGAAGACATTATGCAGCTGCTGGAGCTCTGTCTCATCTCGACTTAATTCCATTACACAATACAAAACAATTACATGGAACAGCAATGGGCTCACCCGTTTCTGTTGTAGTTGCTGAAATTGTAATGCAATCTATAGAGGAACGGGCGATCACGACTTACAAACATGCACTGCCTTTTTGGTTTCGCTACGTAGATGACACAATCACAGCACTACATACAGACGAGATGGATAACTTTCAAACTCACATCAACAAGCAGAACAATCACATACAATTTACCAAAGATGTCGAGGAAAACGGAACTCTTCCCTTTCTCGACTGTTTGGTAAAACAGGATAGTCAAAAACTACGAACAGCAGATTATCGCAAACCAACACACACTGACCGACTACTAAACCAATCATCTTACAACCCTACATCATACAAAGCCACAACAATCAGAACATTAACAAGACGTGCACAAATCATATGTGATTCACCGGACGCTCTACACAACGAAAGCACGTGTTTTTGACAAAAACAACTATAACTTTGACTACATCAAACGCAACACTTACAAACCCAACAAACACAACGAAACGAACAACTCAGCGACAACCGCAGCGATAGCATACATCAAAAGTACGTCTGAGACTATCCCGCGTATCTTACGACCATACAACATACGTGTCGCACATAAACCAATCACAACGCTACGACAAGTACTAACCAACATAAAGGACAAAGAGCAATCCAACGAACGACAAGGTGCAGTTTACAGAATAAACTGCTCCGACTGCCACGCCTCCTATAGCGGGGAAACTGGCAGGAACTTAAACATAAGACTTACTGAGCACAAACGAGCTACTAAGAAACAAGACAAAACTAATCACATTGCCGAACATCACCGAATCACAAAGCACAACATTGACTGGGACTCGGCAAAATGCACTGACTATGGACAACGGCGTACATTAGAAAATTGGTATCCAAATCTGAAACAAACCCCTGAACAGATCACAGCAATTAATGGCACCTTATAAACGACTAATTCACAATACAAACAAACGATTAACTAAAAACATTACACTTCACACTAATCCACAATGACAATACACATTTCCTGTACACACAATACAATGACGTAAGAGCAGATAACAATACGGCTAACCTGACGTTTACTCTTCATTTGACTCTGAAGATGGTTTCCACTAAGGTTGTCGAAACGTCAGTCAACAACAACAAAAAACAGTCCTTCTACTAACCTGGACGATCTTCATATAGAAACATGTAATGATACTCTCTTATTATTGATGTGGCAGCAAGGGTTTTTTTTCTACCACCAGTGACTAAATCATCCATATGACATTGTTGTGTAGTTTCTAAAATGTAAAGATAACTTAAGCTGTGTATCTGTCATTGGGATTAAAGTTAAAACTATGCTTCTGCTCATCGAATTTTTCAGAGGATCACATTGCTAACCTGTTATGTACAAGTTATGGAAAATATCATGTGATCAGAAATTATTGATCGTAAATTCTATTTCAAATATTTTCATTTGCTATAAAGAGAATGTGCGAAATTTATTGATTTTGCAAAATAAAGAGAAAGTGCAAAATATACTAAAATTTAACGTGCTGGAAACGTTATGGAGCATTTTTTTGATGGCAACTGACGGTTTGATTTTACATACATTGTTTTAGAATTTCTGCAATCGTTAATTTTATCCCAGCCCCCCTCCCACATGTATCAAAGTTCGGCAGCTATTGTTACAAGGCTTTCATTTTTGCAGAAGTTGTCTCAGAGCTAAAACTCCTTTGAAAGAATAGAGAGCAGAAGAACTCAATTGAAGAAATTTGTGCAGTTGGTTGAAAATGCCAAATTCAACCATTCCAACGAGGACAGTCCTTCATGACAACATGGATCAATTTTTCCTAATGGTGAATGGATTCGTAGTTGTCTGTAAGTTGAGCTTCAACATAAATAAACACAAAAAACAGAATAGGGATGCAAGTTGCTTAAAGCTATAGGGTTAGAGTAGGGTTAGGAAACTTTTAATGTTTCTAAAAACACAAAAATAGATTAACTTTTATAAACTTGATTTGATTGATCGGCACTTCAAGATTTATTTTAGCTAATGTTTTGCTATGTATGTAGTTCTGACAACATGTCGGTGAAAATTTAGCCAGGCTTGCCAATTCCTCTCACAAGGAGGAAAGTATTTCAATCCCTTTTTCTCTTTCTTAGCCTGGGTAGCTTTATTAACTGCTCGTCTTAATGTTTCATTGAAATTTGTTTATATCTTCGGTAGTTTGGTTCTACAATATGTGATGCCAGAATTCCTCTTGACCATCTTTCATTTTTTAGGTCGTACTAAAGTTAAACTTATAATAAATGGCTTTGACTTCTGCCTTTTGGACATATTTGCTTCTTAAATAGTAAAAAATTATCGACGCACGTTTTTATGTTTTAATTGCACTATCTAATCAATGCGTGCTTACTGCATGACGTTTCTCATAAGGAGCTAGTTAAAATTCATGGTGGGTTCGTTTCTTGTCTTAAAATAACCATAAAACATGGCGACTAACTAATTAGAATAAAAGCGGAGCCGGTGATGTAGTTGGAATCATCCCTTAAGTAAGCCCAAGTTTTTCAACATGCGAAATCATGTTGAACAATCTTTAAACTATAGCTACATTTAATACAAAATGTTTCAAAACTGTTTCAAAAACCCGTAAGTGTTCAGTATCTGT